GGAAAGCCTATTTTCCTTTACTAGCTGAAAAAGATAAAGAGATCTAACCAGTAACAATCTGCAAATACGAAATTTAATAACATACAATTTTCTATATTGATCCAAAAGCAATCTTCACACAATTTACTTTGTGCTTGAAGTTAGATAAAAGAATGCAGGCATTTTATGACGGTATCTGTTTAAGCTATAATCACCTCTGTAATATCGTCCAAACAGACTGTAACTGGAGAAGTGAGTGATCAGACGATGAGCACGAAGCCAGGGTCATTTGCCAGCTGACAGCAGATGTTGTTAGACATAATGTATTCTATTCGCACGTCAAGGCTTAGAGCTGACTTTGCAGCAATATTCTAGGTAAAAGAAGACTTTTTAACCCATTCTTTTTCCGAGGTGCACTGTCTGCTCGAAGCAGTGATAAGCTAAAGTTATTCAACACCGTAAGCTAGGATTTTATTTGCTCTCAACCTCACAACAGTTAAAGCTTATTGATATTGTTAAAGTGCTAGAGTTTAAAAGAAGACATTACACTAACCAGCCATAACATTAAAGCCACCTGCCTAATATTGTGTAAATCCCCCTCATGCTGCCAAAGCAGCTCTGATGTGTTAAGGCATGAACTCCACAAGACGTCTGCACTGTGTGTTCTGACACCTTTCTATCATGGCCAGAATTATGTATTTCAGCTATTGGAGCTATAGTAGCTCTTCAGTGTGATCGGACTCATAACCCAGACGCATGTTCACCGGTTGTACTTCCTTGCAACACTCAGAATTGTTGCCTTGTCCATTTTTTCTGCTTCCAACACATTATATTCAAGAATTGACAGTTCACTCGCTGCCTACTATATCCCACCCCTTGACAGGTGCCGTTGTAACGATATAATCAATGTTATTCACTTCACCTAAAAGTGGTTTTAATCTTGTGGTTGATCAGCATAAGTACCATAACTACTACAGCACATTGTAGTGGTTATGGTGCCAGGAGTGCCATGGTTTGCACAGAACACCTCCAAAGAAAGTATATAAACCGTTTGCTAACAGTTTGACAACTTACCTGGGGTCCGCTGGCAACTCTGAGTAAAGCCTAGTGGTGCAGGGCTTAGCTCATTGGCTGAGAGCAATCAGAGGTTTAGGAAGCTCAAATAAGGAGGTTTCAGCTCTCAAAGAATGAAGTGATCGTGAGCAGCTAGTGCCCGGGTAGTTGTCAAATAATTAGCAAATAGTTTGACTACTTACCCTGGGGGTCTCAAGACCCACCTGTAATGATAACCACTATGGTGCTTGCATAGCTCATTTTAATCAAGCAGAGCTCATAGTATAACATTTACGCAAAAACTGTGAATTTGGAAAAAGATGTCAGTTTGCGTCTTTAACAGAAATGGCATTGCTTTAAATTCTTGTGGTTTCACTACAAGTGAGGTTATAGTATGGTAAAAAGGCAAGAAAATGTGTTGGAATGTTCAATTTAAAACTTAAGAAACATTGATTCCAGGGGGGAAAAAAATATCAATGTACTCTAATAATTTTTCGATTAAAAGAAACTGGACTATTTCTCTTTTTTAGCACGTGGCTCATACTCACCAGGAAGACAATATGTGCGTAGAGGTGAATTCCAAGTTGGATCCCATTCACAATCTTCTCACGGGCCCATTTGGGAATTCCAAAATTAGCTATCAGCGCCATAACTGGAACTGCAAAGAACCTGCACATACAAAATCTTAGCCAAAATCAAGACTTTCAGCAGCAGCACAGACTACCTCTACCAGACCAGAACGACACCTGATTAACCCCTTAAGGACCAAACTTCTGGAATAAAAGGGAATCATGACATGTCACACATGTCATGTGTCCTTAAGGGGTTAAACAACTAATAGATGCAGCTTAATAAATAGAAACTATGGTCGTTTAACTACTTCATAAGCCCTTGTTACAGCTCTCCCTCTCTTCACTAATCTGCTGCCCTCTTATACTCACCAGAGTGTATAAGCAGCAAAAAATGGCACATAGAATGCCTGCTTCTCGGGAAAGTGTTTTAGCGTCACTAACACGGCATAACAAAACCAGATATATGCCAAGAACTGCAAGGCGATGTTCCCGTAACCTGCCGGTGATTCGTAGGTGTACAGAACCTGAGCTGGGTCAAAGAACTGTAAAGGGAGGGAGAGAAACGTGTAGTTGAGCTGGTTGGAGCACACACATGGATGGGACACGTTTCAACATTCAGGTAGCATGTCACATGTGACTAGACTGTTTCTCACCTGTGCCTCATTTATAAACAGCACGGTGTGTGTTACCGTGTACAACGTCATATACACTGACAGCTTAATGGATCCCAGGTGACTAATGCGACCCCTGTAAAAAGAGATATTGATTCAGTACAAAGAAATTAAAAATCTCTATTTATATACTGTGACGCTGTCACGTGACTAGTGTGGCTGATGGGTAACTTCATGCAGTTAAAGTGATATGAGAATATTTATCAAAGTGTTCTGAAAAATGAAGCTTAAAGTCTGTCTTAATTTTGATCGTATTTATTAGAGATCTAAAAAGTGATGGTTTTCTTTATGGTAAATTCTGAGCGTTTTCATACAAATTGGAAGAAGACTGCTAAACTAACAGTGACTGGAAAAATCGGCCACTTTCCTGTTGGGAAAAATGAATACATTTGTTGCATCACCAAAAAATGTCATATATTAAAAAGAATTATGGCTATGGCACAAAAAAGTCATAGATCAAAAAAGAAATCAGGCATGTTTTGTCACAAATTGGTCTAAAAATGAAACATAAATGTGCCGGTGGCACTTTGATAAAAACTCCCCATACAGAGCAGCAGGCAGTATAGTAAAGATGGCCAGGCCCACTCAGTGTGCCCACTGGACAGGTCACATTAAACCAGACCCTTGACAGCTCTTCAATAATGGTCAACCAAGAACTCATCAGTCCAAATATGAGAAAGCTCTTGGGCCAGGCCTAATGCAGAGTTAAACACTCTAAAAATAGTTCATCATGCAATCTTGCTGAATGAAAGTCTAGTCTGCTTTCTGGGGGTTGTCAAACTAGCTGCACTCTATAATTTCTGTGTAGCATTCATAAACCACTAGAGGGGAATTCAATGAACAAATCAAAGCAATTACTTTGAGAGTCATTTTTATTTAATGGATTTATATCCATTCCTGCAGAACATGAATGCTGCATACTAAAATTAAACACTTTACATGTCCTATCCATCAGCATGTATAGGTGATATGTACCTGGTAGTTCTGACAAGAGTAATAACAACACATAGGCATTGATTGAAGTGGATGCATGCATTGCGATAAAGTTAACATTCTTGCTCTTAGCAAACCAATTTAGCAATATCAGCTTAAGGACAAAGATACGTTTATATCCTTGCAAAGATCAATACATGGTGTAGTTACACATACTCTCCATTAGAGGTCACTACATGCGTTCATATAGATGCAGTGTAACTTCTAATTCCAAGATCCTAATTGTATATGTAATAGGGATGTCATGTCATTAGCAGCAAAAAAAGCGGTTACATTTCTGATCTCCTGGGACTATCGGCATTAAAGCAGATAATTCCTGTTCTTATGTCACTATTGTGCTTTACCTAGTTACATTACGGATTGCATGCTGATATTGGTAATTGATCAGTTACATTACGTATTGGTAATTGATCAGTTACATTACGTATTGCACGCGGATATTGGTAATTGATCAGTTACATTATGTATTGCACGCGGATATGGGTAACTGATCAGTTACACTACGTATTGGTAACTGATCAGTTACATAACGGATTGCATTCTGATATTGGTAATTGATCAGTTACATTACATATTGGTAATTGATCAGTTACATTACGTATTGCACGCGGATATTGGTAATTGATCAGTTACATTATGGATTGCATACTGATATTGGAATTTGATCAGTTACACTACTGATTGCATGCTGATATTGGGAATTGATCAGTTACATTACTGATTGCATGCTGATATTGGGAATTGATCAGTTACATTACTGATTGCATGCTGATATTGGGAATTGATTAGTTACATTACTGATTGCATGCATGATATTGGGAATTGATTATTGAATTGATTACATTACATTATGGGACACGGGCATTGATATTGGGATCATTGATTGCATGCTGATATTGGGAATTGAGTTACATTACTGATTGCATGCTGATATTGGGAATTGATCGGTTACATTACGGGTTGCATGCTGATATTGGGAATTGATTAGTTACATTACTGATTGCATGCTGATATTTAGAATTGATCAGTTACATTACTGATCTCATGCCACTGTACACAAATAGCCAGCCCTGTTAAAGGACCACTATAGTGCCAGGAAGACATACTCGTTTTCCTGGCACTACAGTGACCTGAGGGTGCCCCCACCCTCAGGGTCCCCCTCCCGCCGGTCTCTAGGGGGAGGAAGTGGTTAAACTTACCTCTTTCTCCAGCGCCGGGCGGGGGACTCTCCTCCTCCACAGTGACGTCATCGGCTGAATGCACATGCGCGGCAGGAGCCGCGCTCGCATTCAGCCAGTCCATAGGAAAGCATTCTCAATGCTTTCCTATGGACGCTGGCGTCTTCTCACTGTGAAAATCACAGTGAGAAACGCGGAAGCGCCTTTAGCGGCTGTCAATGAGACAGCCACTAGAGGCTGGATTAACCCATTTATAAACATAGCAGTTTCTCTGAAACTGCTATGTTTATAGAAAAAAGGGTTAAACCTAGCTGGACCTGGCACCCAGACCACCATTTGTCGGAGCAGCACAGCGTAACCTGTGTTGACAGAGTGCATGCAGTGCAGATAGAATGATGATGTGTGGCACGTTTTGCCATAGTTTAGCATGGTTTTAGATTAGTGTCCCTGTTTTACCTGGTAACCGTAAACCCTTTTCCCAACAGGATCAACATCAGCAGAAAGATCAGGAAACTGGCAGAGAACAGGAGTTTAGCTGCAAGAGAGAAAAGTGCTGAGAACATTGGAAGATACTGCATAGCAATAAGAACACGGTCAGACATCACACAGAGCTGAGTACTCAGTCAGACATTGCACAGCGCTGAATACACGCTCAGGCATTACACAGTGCTGAGTACACAGTCAGACATCACACAGCAATGAGTACACGGTCAGACATCACACAGTGCTGAATACTCCGTCAGACATCACACAGCGCTGAGTACAAGGTCAGACATCACACAGTGCTGAGCACACGGTCAGACATCACACAGCGCTGAGTACACGGTCAGACATCACACAGTGCTAAGAGCACAGTCAGACATTACACAGCAATGAGTACACAATTAGATATCACACAGCACTAAGTACTCAGTCAGACATCACACAGCGCTGAGTACACGGTCACACATCACACAGTGCTAAGAGCACAGTCAGACATTACACAGCAATGAGTACACAATCAGATATCACACAGCACTAAGTACTCATTCAGACATCACACAGCGCTGAGTACAAGGTCAGACATCACACAGTGCTAAGAGCACAGTCAGACATTACACAGCAATGAGTACACAATCAGATATCACACAGCACTAAGAACTCAGTCAGACATCACACAGCGCTGAGTACACGGTCACACATCACACAGCAATGAGTGCACGGTCAGACATCACACAGTGCTGAGAATACAGTCAATCATCACACAGTGCTAAGTATATGGTCAGACATCACACAGTGCTGAGTACATGGTCAGAAATCACACAGTGCTGAGGAAACGGTCAGACATCACACAGTGTGGAGTACACAGTCAGACATCACACAGTGCTGAGTACACAGTCAGGCATCACACAGTGCTGAGTACACGGTCAGACATCACACAGTGCTGAGTAAACGGTCAGACATCACATAGTGCTGAGTACACAGTCAGGCATCACACAGCGCTGAGTAAACGGTCAGACATCACACAGTACTGAGTACACGGTCAGGCATCACACAGTGCTGAGTAAACGGTCAGACATCACACAGTGCTGAGTAAACGGTCAGAAATCACACAGTGCTGAGTCAGACATCATACAGTGCTGAGTACACAGTAGGGCATAAAAGTTCTCTGATTACACAAACACCACACTAAAAACTACACAGTACTGAGTACACAGTCGGAAACTGCAAACCACTGATCACACAGTCAGACTGGGACACCACAAAGCACAGGGCAAACAGTAAGTCATCACAAACCATTGAACACAGTCAGTGTTGTATTCTGTATATACACAATAACATTTTGCATACTGACCTAGTACCTTGATGCTGGGGTTGCCCACTCCATCCTGTGCATATTGCCCCCAGTATAGGCAGAAAAACAGCAAGCTGAGAACTGGAAATATCAGAGGCTGTTACGTGCTGGAAGAGATCATGAACAATAGAGGGCGACAGCGAGAACAGATGGAGCTCATGCAAGACTGGAAAATGAGAGCTAAAACAGGGTGAGCCAGTATGTCCTCTGTACGACGGCATCACCCAGACACAGGCATGTATTCTGCTGTGTCTGATTATTGTATGTCGCTGCAGAATACGATGGGAGATTTATCACAGTGTCACTGACACTTTCCCTTAAAATTTTTTGCAAATAAAATTCCGGTGATATTTTGCCGCAATTTCTGAAATTCTGTCAATTTTTTCTTCAGTTGCTCTATTTTTGCGCCCTAATCGTTATTTTTAAATTTGCACCATTTCTTCACCAACGCAACAGAGTTATCAATATTTCCAACAGAAAAGTGGTGGAATATTTCTGCCACTATAGATCTATCAGTCTTCTGAAGTTTACATCTCTGTGAAATCTTACAGAATATACTACGAGATGAAAACCGTCACTTTTTACATCACTAATAAATATGATAATAATAAATCACTCTCCATCACACTATGACAAATATCTCCCATAGTGCTTATAACAATATTATGGAGCTCATAGAGTACTGTGACACTCACCCTCCACTGCGGCTGCAGCCATGAACATTTTATACGTGGTGTGAAGAAGCTGCCGTCCCCTTAATATATCTGGAGAGATAAAAGGGAACAGAATACATGGACTTTAACCCATGTAAGAATAAAGAATACACAGTCTGTAACAAACAGAATACACAGGCTGTAACCCACACAGCATATAGAATACACAGGCTGTAAACAAACAGAATACACAGGCTGTAACCCAAACAGCATACAGAATACACAGGCTGTAACAAACAGAATACACAGGCTGTAACCCAAACAGCATACAGAATACACAGGCTGTAACAAACAGAATACACAGGCTGTAACCCAAACAGCATACAGAATACACAGGCTGTAACCCATGTAGCATACAGAATACACAGGCTGTAACAAACAGAATACACAGGCTGTAACTCACACAGCATATAGAATACACAGGCTGTAACAAACAGAATACACAGGCTGTAACCCACACAGCATACAGAATACACAGGCTGTAACCCAAACAGCATACAGAATACACAGGCTGTAACAAACAGAATACACAGGCTGTAACCCACACAGCATATAGAATACACAGGCTGTAAACAAACAGAATACACAGGTTGTAACCCACACAGCATACAGAATACACAGGCTGTAACAAACAGAATACACAGGCTGTAACCCACACAGCATATAGAATACACAGGCTGTAACAAACAGAATACACAGGCTGTAACCCAAACAGCATACAGAATACACAGGCTGTAACAAACAGAATACACAGGCTGTAACCCAAACAGCATACAGAATACACAGGCTGTAACAAACAGAATACACAGGCTGTAACCCATGTAGCATACAGAATACACAGGCTGTAACAAACAGAATACACAGGCTGTAACCCACACAGCATACAGAATACACAGGCTGTAACCCACACTACATACAGAATACACAGGCTGTAACAAACAGAATACACAGGCTGTAACCAATGTAGCATACAGAATACACAGGCTGTAACCCACACACCATGTAGAATGCACTTGTACATTAATATTCACTGTTCTGTACACTGTATACCCAAATCCAATAAATTAGGCGCAGAGTAGGGATAGACCAATTATCGGTTCCAATTATTTTTAGAGTCAATATTCGGCACATTTCTGATAATCGGTATTGGTACTGTAATTTACCAATATCACCAATAAATCACTAACTTCTCCCAGTCACTGCACGCTGTCTTCCGCATCCAGAAACTCCAACCACCAACCAATGAGGTTCCACGTCGCGACCCCACGTCATCCCTCCCAGTGAGTTCCTGAATGAGGAGCTCAGCTGACGTCAGGAAGGTGAATAATCTATTGTAATGTTCTGGGCTGGCTGACAGAGTGATAGGAGTGTGACTGCTGTCATCAATCACACTCCTATCAGTAAGAGCACTGTACAATCTCAATGATTCCAGCATGTACTAGCTGCCTGAGAGTAATAGGAGTGTGGTTGCTGGCAGCATGTTCAGTCAATGCCAGATTTGTATAGAAATTGTGTTGCTTTGTCAAAACTTCAAATTTACAGAATATCGACACCTATTATCGGCAATTGGCTCAAAAGGCATCTGATAATCTATATTTGCTCTGGAGAAATTATTTCACTCAATCCCTAGTTTGAGTAATAGCCATATAAAACACTATTACCATATTATGTGGTCTCTCAACTAAAGTCAAATGGAGTTCAATTCCAGGAAACCCCTAAACCTTGCAGCCTATGCTGGTACCTGTGAAGTTGCTCAGTTAAGTTGAAAGTTCATTAACCAAAATTTCAGAATGTCACAGTCCAATCAGTGGGGATTCAATATTTCCCAAATCTGACAGACCTACGAGACGTTCCCAGTAATAACAGTTAGCAAACTCTTAAGGCAAATTCCACGGTTTAGGGAACCCAGACAGAGAGGGTAAGGCACACTTAACACTCAACAATAATTGCAAATGTGGTGGATACTCACATCCAAAATAAGTCGATACGAGCAGGATCAGGGTGAAGATCAGGAGAAAGGTTATATCTGTTTCAAGGATTCCTGCATAAAAAAAAAAAAACACACCATGCTGAATGTAAAATACCAAACAATGGTGTTAAAGGGCAACTACCAACACTTCACTTCTTATCTCTGAATCACTTGTCCTCACTGAAGATGCAAAATAATAGTAATCCCAGTTGTGTTATCTAAAGAAAGCATCTGGCATGTTCAAAATCATGGGCTCATGGGCTTCAAGGGCTCTACGTGGACTCTACTGCCCCAATAAAATAAAATAAAAAAATTAAAACTACTGTTTTTTTAGTAGATATACCTCGAATAAAAACACGCATGCCTTTAATTTAGCATTTTTTCATTGGAGTTATATCTAAAAACTGCTTTCAAAAGCCATAGATTTCATGTTTGTAGCCTTTGCAAGCCCTCCCCTTCTAACCCCGCCTATACTTTCTGTGGCTGTCCAATCACAGACTTCCCAATGCAGCTCAATGAGAAGTGTTGCACGGCAGGTTCTCTGGGCAACTGCTGCCTCTTGAGTACAGTGCAAATAACCTAACCAAACCAGGAAGTAACAGGACCAGTTGTCTGATTGACAGCCAGAGAGTGCAACAAGGTTAATTTATAAAAGTACCAATTTCTTTTCAAATCTGAACTTTTTGTAAAGTGTTTTAGGGGCTGGAGTGTAATTTTAACTCCCCAATAGCATATTGAGAATGTTACTTGACTTCCTGTTCTTAATAATTTTTATTTATTGCTTTTTTTGTTTGTTTTATTGATTGTAAGTTTTATTGAGTGAGTTTTGAGAAAACATAGGATTGGAAATAATTTCCATATTTTTGCTGCAAGTAAATGTAACAGTTTCTAAAATAAAATACACAATGTAGCAAAAAGTCAATGTATTTTTAATGTAATTAATTCAAATATGGCAGATTCACTTAAACTTGTCATTTTAAAATATTTTTTGATAGACTACGTGGAAGTGCAACTACATCTCATAAAGAGCAGAACTCAAAAGCAGAATATAAAATGAATTGCACAGTAAGATACAGTGACTCCAAAGTGACCTATTTTTCAAGTATCCTCAGGTCATTCATAATAACTGATGAAATTGTAGATGGCTATATACTGAGCGCTGAATTTGCACCCCACCAGACTAATCAGGGTGGGATATTCAAACTGACTTAAAAAACCATTAGCTACTTATGAAAGACAATTATAATCAAAATGTGAGTTTTGCAAACTGAAAGGTATTAAAGGGTCTGTTTGCTGTATAATCTGCCTATAGACACAGACTTGAGAACAAAGAGGGGAGTATTCAGGACCCCCGAAAATCAGGGGATCTTTATTTTTCCAACATTCTAACCCCCCTTCCCTCGTCGCCCCCGACACATAAAGGGTTAAAAATCCTTTATTTACTCACCTGATTCCAGCGTCAATGTCCCTCGTCGCTGGGTCACTGCTCTGGCTAAATCTGCATGCACGGCGAGCTCATTAGGCCTACCCCATAGGAAAACATTACCTCAATGCTTTCCTATAAGGAGTTCACGGATGCTGGGTGTCGTGAGAGCGCGAGGATGTCCAGCGTTGTTTAAGGGTGTCAGACTCTGGTAAACTCACGGAAGAGCTTTTAGAGGCTGTCTGGTAGACAGCCACTAGAGGCTGTATTTGTGCTTCAATATAAACATTGTAGTTTCTCAAAAACTGCAACATTTTACATTGCAGGGACACTGCACCCAGACCACTTCAATGAGCTGAAGTGGTCTGGGTGCTTATAATGTCCCTTTAACATCTCTAGAAATTGAAACACAAGCTCACTAATCTGAATATGGATTTAATACATATCTTTTTTTATCTATTACATTTTGTCGTTAGGATTTAATTCACTAATATTCAGACTTTAGTCAATAATCCTGTATATTAAATTGGTGAATTTCAAAGGTTAGGCCTAAATAGCCAAATTACTAGCCCTACTCTCCCCATTTGTATGGCTAATTTAATAGTGAATTGAAACTTAAGACTAAAGTAGGAAAACTGGAAAAATTTGCTTCCACTTCAGCGACTTTACCCTTAAATTGTGATGATGCATTAAGCCACCCAATTACAGGATCAGTTTAAAGTGAATATTATACTGCTTCAAATACAAGCAAGACATTATCATCCCAATCAGGTCAAATCACGCTTAATATTTGCAATTGCTAAGTCCCAGCAAGGGTTGGAATCCAGCAATAACGCGCCCACAAGTACCCACACAGTCCACCGAGATAATAACTATACTAATTTTAATAGCATCAGGAAAGAATCCTTCAGCTTTCTGGAGTTTTTAAGTATATCCTGGGGTCTAGATGTTATTACTGACCAACTCACTGATGCTCATTTTATAGAGCTCAGCTGACACTGCTAGGAATATAACCCGAGACAATGAGATAATACAAATACTAACCAAATTCATCTGCAGAAAAGTGACGTGTCCAGAAGGACTTTCCGTTGGTTAGAGTCATTTCGTATTCTAGCTGCAGCCCGTCCCCCTGCAGATAGAGACAGAATCAGAACCAGAAGCCAGACAGAATTTGACACTAAAGCAATAATAAGCATTATATCAAATTACAGTGTTAATACACTAAAACCCAATATTATGAATAATACGAGTGCTAACTCATGCATTGCAAAACAAACAAAAAAAGCCCTGGCACTTTATATCTGTAATAAAATGTATCAATCTACTGAAATACAAGGCAAAGACACAAAAAGACAGGCCATCCTGGAAGCCAAAGACATTTATATACCCGAGTGGTAGACCACCTATAACACACTATTTTCCAAACATCTGACACACTAGCTCTGTCACCCAGTGTCAGGGGGACTGTAGTAAAATGCATAGTGTTAGCAGCACTCGTTATATGGACAGCCGGTTATCCTGGAGTATATGCATGCCTTGTTTTCAGCTGGGCACAGCGTCTGTGACGCAAATTGAATCAAAGACACGCCAACGTGCCATCCTTACCACACTCTCCACTTTCAGAACTTACAGAGTTGGCAGGACTGCTGTTTCCTCCAGGGAGGTTATGTATGTAATCAAATTGACTAGCAGCTTAGTTAGCCTATAGCCATGCATCACTTGATAAGGTCTAAAAAGAATCCCTAGTGACACCAGCAATGATGACTTTAGTCCACCAGTCCTGTCAGGGTTATTTACTAAAGTGAGAGTTTAACATGAATTCAAAGTGAAATTTAAGGCTAAAATAGCTGAACTGGAAAAAGTCTTTAACTTTGGAGGTTTTGGCCTTACATAAACACTATAGTCTTAGGAATAGATATCTGTATTCCTAACACTACAGCCCTGATGCCCCTAATCATATATATCGCCCCCTCCTCCCCGTGTTAAAGAAAAAAAGCACTACAAATAAAAATAATTACTCACTTATTCCTCCTTCGGTAGCACGCCTATGCTTCCAAGCCCTCTAATTAATGAGGGGGGCAAGACTGTAGGCACTATGACCATGTCAATAAAATGAAGTTGCTAAAGTACCTTAACAACCTTTAAATGTGAAATTCACATAAAATTCTCACTATGGTAAATAACATAGCCCTGTCTCAGAAAGATAGAAATCTAAAAAAAAATCACCCTTCTCTCTAATCAAATATATTAGAGACAGATTCTTTAATCAATAATCAATTAAATGTGTCTAACAGTACAAACGTGAAAACACCATTTCTCTTTAAGGGGCTGAAATGATATATGTCCCAATTTATTGTCTGCTTAATCCCTCTTGCAACCCATTCTCACCCCACACTTGCTCAGGGCTATGTACCACCATCTTTCCCGCACGGATCTGAAACTTCTACCACTATTGCAGCTCAGATAACTTGTTTCTCCTTCTTTTATCTCCTGTATATGGAAGAAACAAAGAATGAAGAGAATTGCAAGTGACCACAACAAAACAAAGAATTTATGGTTCATATGTCACATACCACAGTTTTCAGAGGAAGGTTCATATTAGCAAAGGAACTTTAGCTTAATGAAGCAGTTTGGGTGTATAGATCATGCCCCTGCAGTCTAACTGCTCAATTCTCTGCCATTTAGGAGTTATATCACTTTTTTATTCAGCCCTAGCCACACTTCCCTGCATGTGACTTACACAGCCTTTCTAAAGAGTCATCTAATGTTTACACTTCCTTTATTGCACAGCCTGTGTTTAATTTAGAATTTCTTATCTCCTGCTATGTTAATAGCCTTGTAGACCCTGCAGGAGCCTCCTGTGTGTGAGTCAAGTTCAATTTACAGAACAGGAGATTTAAAAAACCTTCTAAAGTAAGTTAACATCTGATTGAAAATTAAACCATTGTTTCGTGCAGGCTGTCACTTACAACCAGAGGAGGTTTATCTAGGACTGCACAAATAGAAACAAAATCAATTTAACTCATAAATGTCAGAGAATTAAGCTGCAAGACTGCAGAGATCTATAAACCAAAACTGCTTTATTAAGTGAACATTGTTTTTATACCTATAGTGTACCTTTAATACTGTATCAGAGAATTAGTTCCTTTCTCACCTGACATCCAGACCAAACATACTGGGTAGTCAAGTTAATGACCTGATTGTTTTCTGGACGGATCACGGATTCCTTCATAAAACAGTCCTGAGGAGGAGAGTTTAAGTCAATGAAAAGCACTTACACAACAAGGTACATTATGAAGGATTGACAGTTAGATACAGACACTGATTCCAACAAACCTTGCTCCCCTTCTTGTAGACGGCTGGCCACTGAGATGGGTCATCAAAGTAAAGCAGGATGTTCTCACAGCATTTTGCCTGAGTATGAAAAAGATCACATCAGAATGTGCCAGAAGGGACCCAAAGTGCGATTGAAAGATATAGCAACAAGTCATTCATCAACGCTTACATGTTAGCCGACATAGTTATAGCCATGCTCTGTCTAAGATGCAGTTATTATGTTTCCTTATTACATAATGGCAGAAAAGGAAAATTTACTCAAAGTACCTTTGTTTCATAGTATGCAGTCTTTTTCTTGCAATTATGTGGTTGGTGGTCCATGAGTACTGAGCTGGGGACCACTGGTATAGATCAATCATTCATACAGTCTCACTGCTCAATTCTCTGCCATTTAGGAGTTAAATCACTTTGTTTACACAACCCTAGTTACACCTCCCTGCATGTGATTTACACAGCCTTTTAAACACTTCCTGTAAAGAGTCATCTAATGTTTACATTTCCTTTACTGCACATTCTTTTTAATTAAATATTTCTTATAGTCTGCACTGCAAATAGCTTGCTAAACCTCTCTTGTATGTAATAAAGCTTAATTTACAGAGCAGGAGATACAAACTTTAAAGTAAGTTAACATCTGATTTAAAATTACATAATTTTGCTTTCATGCAGGCTGTGTGAGTGACAGTTATTTAACAAACAAAAGTGATTTAACTCCTAAATGGCAGAGAACTGAGCAGTGACACTTCAGAGGTATGATCTGTACAAAAAAACTGCTTCATTAAGCTAAAGTTGTTTTCGTGACTATAGTGTCCATTTTTAACCCCTTAAGGACACATGACATGTGTCATGATTCCTTTTTATTCCAGAAGTTTGGTCCTTAAGGGGTTAAAAAAAAGGAAAACAGAGGATTTCGGAAAAGAAAACCGTACATAAAGAACTGCACCCTACCCTTCATATTGTATGAAAGGTGTGGGTGTCTGGGTAACCTTTATACTAAACTAGTCTCGGGAAGCCAAGTTTACAGTAATTTGTGTTTTCAAATATAAAAGACTTATAAGAGAAGGGGAGAGTCAATTAACAGTAATAGAGAGTTGAGATAACATGTAGAGGAAACAGCTCACAGAGACTGTGCCAAAGTAACAACTATATTGCTCCGAATTCCCAGATGTTCAAGAGATAAAACTCCCTAATATGTTACTGCAAAATAATGATTCATTTATAGTATATACTGTCATCAGACAGTCCCATAACACAGCGTAAAATAGACGCACGTTGCACCCAAGTTATAGGACCACTATAGTCACCCAGACCACATCAGCTCAATGAAGTGGTCTGGGTGTTAGGTCCCCCAGGTTTTAACCCTGCAACTGTAAACACAGCAGTTTCAGAGAAACTGCTGTGTTTACATTGCAGGGTTAACCCAGCCTCTAGTGGCTGTCTTCCTGAAAATCACATTGAGCACACAGGTTTGAATGCACTCGCGCCTCTGGTCGCGCATGCGCATTTGCCTCCACTTGGGAGCTGAGGTCACCATTAAGGAGGGGGGGGACCTAATGACCCTATAGTGCCAGGAAAACGAGTTTGTTTTCCTTGCACTATAGTGGTCCTTTAATAAAGCAGCCTTACACAGCCAGATTATGGAGCCTGTTGACATTTTTTTACATTTGTACAATTCTTACCTCCGGGTATTTAAATCTGAATTCAAGACGTCCATAATCAGACAAGAAGCAAAATCTCGTGAGAAAAACCCAGTCCTGAAAAAAATAAGAGAAAGAGGGAAAAAGATAGAACAGGGGAAGCGAGAAGCAAGAGATTACAAGGGAGGGAAAGCAGACAACAAAAGATTATGGAGAAAGTAAGAACGAGAGGAGATAGATGGGGAGAAAGGAAAAGAGGAAAAGAGAGGGGAGAAGAGGGAGAAAGACAAAGTGTTAGCTCAGCTTATATTTACTATCCATCTTCTAGGATGGTAATGAAACCCACCACTTTTCTGCAGACAGAAAAAAAATCATTACTTCTGTCACATATGTATTTGTCATTTTAATTCTGCAGTAGTTCACTCATCTAGACAGGTCATACCGCTTTGCAGATTTTCCATTCCCCTGCACAGTGCTAAAGATCTAGGATAAGTAACATCTCTCCACTTTGAGAACTGCGATTCCGAACCCTGGAGGCTGGCTGGAGCTTGTGGGAGCTGTAGTCTTAAAACTGTACAAGGAACACATGGCCTAGTCTGATTGGTCACTGTTGGCTAGCGGAGAAAAATAGCAGTTGTGATTGAACAATAGCTGGGAATTCAGTTACCCAGACGTGATCTGTTATCTCTCAGCAGCCTGTCCTCAATTCTCTCTGCTCACTGCATTGTGTTTTATTATTCGAGATAACTTGTTTCTCAGAGAGAACACATGAGGGTTATGTATAAACAGCAAACATGGAGCAAAGTTCTGAAAGTAGAATAATCACGATGTTACTATAAAAACCAATGGCATGTTCCTATATATTCCTCCGTTGACAATAGTGATGTTGCAAATTTTTCGCAAACGGTTCGCGGCGGACTCCAGTCAGCTGACAGATCCCGGCCAATATGCAGCAGACCCTCCCTCCCAGACCCTCCCACCTCCTGGACAGCATCCATATCCTTCAATATGGATGCTGTCCAGGAGGTGGGAGGGTCTGGGAGGGAGGGTCTGCTGCATATTGGCCGGGAAGTGTCAGCAGACTGGAGACCGCCGCGAACGGTTCGCCATGAACCGCGGCGAACCGTTCGCGGACCATTCGCAAAAAATTCGCGACATCACTAGTTGACAACATGGCAGCTGAAATGTTTTTTATTCCCCCTTTTTATCCCAATGTCCCTCTTTGCTAGTAGCTCCATATTGTAGGTGTGTCTGAATGTATAACAGAGCTCCACAGTAATAATAGTCCTAGTATCTTTAAACTTTTTATGTTAAATGTTTAAAATTTAAAATTTTTGTTCTAAATGTGTTCTAAATTAGGATTACTCTCATTTCAAAAATATTGGATACATTTTAAAATAATTGTGTGAATTTTCCAGCACAAATTAACAAATAAGAAAAAATAACGTGCATCACAGAATAACCACCGTACAAACACACACCTCACCCATTCTTTAGTGACCTTAAAAAAAAAAAAAAAACGTATTGCAAGATTTAGGTCGCAATAGCCGAGCTGTGACTACATCTGCATTGGAGAACATTTACACACAGGCTATTTAAGCCCATTTTTTATTTTTTCTTGCAATTCGTTTTTCAAATCGCTGCAATTCTCACAGTGAGAACTGACACTCTCATTTCTGTGATTAGTTGTCACGTGGCCATGTCATATAACAGCTCCTTTTCTCCCAGATAAATGCTGACTGGGTTATCATGAAAAGAATAATGTTTTTTAAGCAGCTCTGTCAACCCCCCTAACCAGCCTGAGCCACCACACACCAAGCGGCGATGTCATCATTTTTTAAAGAGAGACTTCCCTTCTAATCCAGAACAGTTTCATATGAAACTATAGCACTCGGCCCAAAACTATTTAAATATTCATATCTCTTCTTCTTCCACTCCATATATATTAACATAGCTGTCACATGTTAGGCAGGGTTAATATCAATATAATATTGCCAATTAGCTTTCTGGATAATCCGGTCTACACCCACCTTAAAAAGACAGATGGAATTTAGACATTGGCACTACCCTAGAGCTGGGTTAAGGTTGCCCAGGGCCCTAGGCAGTGTGCCAGACTGGGGCTCCATCTAAAACACAGGGTTCTGTTTCTGTAAGTGTTTGTGTGTGGTGGCTGAGTGTGTGTTTCCCCCTCCTGCTCATCTTTTCTTGGTGGCCCAGAGGGGAAGCATTGTGGGCTGCACCAAAACCATTTTAATGGCTCCCTTGTGGTTCTGGCACTCTGTCAATGGCTCAGCGCTCTGGTTGTGGTGCTCTGAGTCATCAATAAGTGGAAAGAGAACACGACAGAGCTCTTAAAGTGGTCTTAACCCAATTGGTGCAGACCACAATACTTCCTCAAGGAGGTGAGGGGGCTTAAGGCCGAGCACAGAGATCTTTTTGGTCTTCCTACCAGCTCATGGAGGCCCCTCACAACCAGAGCTGTTATCTTTGGTACAGTCCTGTGAGTCTGTGAAAATATCAGGCATCCAAAGAGGGCCTTCTGATGGGACAAATGATCAATGGCAGACCAGAACCAGAGGCTTGTGTAGTAATAGGACAGTCCTGTGTAACCATGGAGTATAAGTGGCCAAAGGCCAGTGTGATCAGACCGCATCGCAAAATATTCACGTGGTATGTCCACGGCTTGTGAATTGTGAATTCCAGAGAGGAATCAGATATTGGAATGGAGCTGTCCCTGAAAGGTGCAAGCAGCAGTTCAAAGAAGGTGAAGAATGGAACTGCTTCTTTGGATACAAGATGTACCCAACTCTTAGAAGTCCAGTCTTTGTGGTCCAGTGGCTGTTTGACGAAGCCCAGCTGACTGTGGATAATGTTCATCTGAGTGGACAACCTGTGCAGGAGAGTCAGTGGCTCTATATCCAGAATTTGGGTCGAGAGTTGAGGAACACTTTGAAAGATGTTGGGGCAAGTTTCGCTCCAGCTTGTCTGTCCCACGAAATAATCACCCGCAGGTCCATGGCGTCCCTGGATGAGATCCTGGCCGGAGTGAGAGCTGCAGTGAAGGACCGAGGGCTGGCCTGGCTGCATGAACAACTGGGGGCTGCAGTTCCCCCTCCAGCACCAGCGGAGCGCAGGACGGCGCGAAGAGCACGGCCGCCCCAGCGTTTGAGTCCGGGCATGGCGCCCGCTCCACGGCGGCGGAGGAGCCCGTCGGCACCCAGCCAGGAGGCAGGAGGGTCGGACAGCACTGGAAAGCGGCCGGCGCCGCCTGTGCGACGCGGCGCCGGTCAGGCGAGGACGGCCGCAAAGCGTGGGCCTGCCGGAAAACGCGCCCCACTCAAGATGGCGGCGGGCAGCACAAGTACCCCAGAGGAGGGCTCCAGCACGGCGGGAATGGCGGCCGGGAGAGCGGAGGAGCACGTGATCGGCAGCACTTCATTGAGGCGTCCCGGTGAGTCCACTCTGGTCACTGAGGGGCAGGGGGCGGGCGGGACGCGGGATGCTCCTGCGCAGGCGGCCCCCCAGCTACCCAGGGGTGGCCTGGTCAGCGGGATCAGCTCGCGGGCGGCCTTAGATGTGGCCAGGACGGGTGATAGTGCCAGGCATAGGGGTGAGGGGCGGCAGGAGGACGACAGGATCGGGCAGAGAGCGGCAGAGGTTCCAGCGGGCTGCCAGGGGGTGCGGGGGGCATCTGAACCAGGCGCAGCGGCCAGCGGATGGCCAGGTACAGCGGAGAAGGGTGACCCACACGGTACAGCGTGGGATAGGGAGGTCAGGAGCAGTAGCAGTGGAAGGATGGGCCCCTCAGGCTGCTCTCACGGGGGGCACCGCAGCGGGACCATGGAGAGGGGGGATTACGGACGGGAGCGGCGCAGCGGTAGCGCCAGGCCCAGCAGCAGCAGGAGGTCAGCCGATCGGCAGTGGAGCAGGGACAGGAGTCCTTCACATGGCAGGCGCAGTGGTTCCAGGGCCAGCTGCAGGGTGGGGAGGAGGAGGTCCGCTTCCAAGGACGGTCGGGGGCGGAGACGGCGCAGCGCATCTGGGTCCTCAGGTGACAGTGCGCTAGGACAGCAGCGGGTCGCCAGGAGCAGGGAAGTTAGGCCGGTGAGGCAGTGCGAAGCTTGGAACTGCGGAAAGGAGTGTAGGGAGGAAGGACGGGTAGGGTCCCAGCAGTACAGACTACCCAGGTTGTCTTCTCCTTACAGGTCGCGGAGCGCTACCCCTACGGTCCTGAGGAGGGATCAGGCGGATGGGAGTCGGCGTCAACCGGATGCTCCGGAGCCTGAACGGGCGGACGGAAGGTCGGCATCCCCGGGGCCTGGCACGGCCGGGGTCTCCAACGGTGAGTCCATATCTGCACAACACTCCGAACAGTTATTGGGCTATTTAAAAACACTATTGGAGGCATGGTCAGGGAGGGGGGAATCACCATTGCAGTTCGGAAAAGTATGGTCCCCTGACACGGCGGTTAAGGCACTGGGGGCGGTGGGCCAACCTGCGAGCGGTGGCGAGACAAGTGAAGCGGTGGTGGCGTCCGGTGCGGCGGATGGGGGGGCCGAGCCGGCAGTCGGTTGTGGCGACATTTCGGACGCGGCACGTCAAAACGTACACGTATCTTTTGCGGGCCCCCTAGGTTGTCACCTGAAATTAGAGGTCAAGGAAAAGATTTGGAAGGGGGAGTTCATGGAAATTTTCTCCTTGCTCCCTTTGGAGGAATTCCAAGACTTGAAGGAGGAGGATAAGAAGGACGCCAAGAAGGAGGAAGAGGAAAAAAGGCGGAGGTATCGTAAGATACCGAAGACTTTTGGGAATTGGCTGAGGGCATTCTGCATCCTGGCTAGTGTAATAGGGGAAAAGAGGCCGGGGAGCTGTTCGCAACTGTTCTGCTACTTGGATGGGATAGGCGATGCGTATCGGACGTATGGGGGCCTAGCATGGTGGAAATATGATGAGCAGTTTCGGCAACGCTTGGCGGCCAACCCTACCATGCGGTGGGACCAAATGGACCTGCCGCTATGGATGAGGATTATGATGGCGCAGAAGGCTGCGCCCTTTCTCGGGGCAGCTGGGACAGCCTCAGGCATGGCTGTGCCAGCGGGACAAAAGAAGGGCCTATGCTGGACATACAACTAGGGTCAATGCAAGTGGGGTACTTCATGCCGATTTAGGCACGAGTGTTCGGGCTGCGGAGGGAATCACGGCGCCAGCAGATGCTTCAAGAAAGGTAAGCTTAATGCAGGGGGGGAACCGCAGGGGTGGCGGCCACCTCGGCTGCAACTGGGGGCGTCCCCAGTGAGGTTAGGCGCGATGTTGCCTTGGCTAAGGCAATACGCTAACCAGGAGGATGCGGCGTTCTTGTGGCGGGGTTTTAGGGAGGGCTTCGTGATCCCCTTCACGGTCAAGGAACCAGGGGCGGTTTGTGCCAATCTTAAATCGGTGCGGGAACGCCCGGAGGTGGTGCGGGACAAGCTGGCTAAAGAGGTCCTTTTAGGGAGGATGGCGGGGCCGTTCCCGTACCCGCCTCTAGCGGAGTTGCGGATATCCCCACTTGGAGTGGTCCCCAAAAAAGAGGCTGGCAAATTCAGGTTGATTCATCACTTATCGTATCCTACAGGGACATCGGTGAATGATGACATCGACGCGGCACTCTGTTCAGTATCTTACACATCATTCGACAGGGCAGTCGAGTTGGTACGGAGAGCTGGGCGGGGAGCGCTGATGGCGAAGGTGGACGTGGAGGCAGCGTTCCGGCTGCTTCCCATACACCCGTCATGTCATCACCTCTTGGGGTGTTGTTTTGAGGGGGGTTTCTTTGTGGATCTGTGCTTGCCGATGGGTTGTTCCATATCGTGCGCCTATTTCGAGAAGTTTAGCACTTTTCTGGAATGGGTAGTGCGGCGGGAATCGGCCGGGGGCACGGTTGTACACTACCTGGACGACTTCTTATGTGTCGGCCCTCGAGGCTCAGACCGGTGCAAGCAGATACTACGGGTGTTCCAATGGGTAGCGCAGACGATGGGGGTTCCTTTGGTGGAGGACAAGACCGTGGGACCCGCCACGTGTCTCAGTTTTCTGGGTTTGGAGATCGATTCGGAGATCGGGGAATATAGATTACCACAGGACAAATTGCACAAACTGAAGGATTTGGTTCACACGATCGGGAGAGCACGGAAGGTGACGCTGAGGGGATTACAGTCTCTGGCAGGGAGCCTGAACTTTGCGTGCAGGGTCATACCCATGGGGAGGGTTTTCTGTAGACGGTTGGCGCGGGCGATGAGCGGGATACGGATGCCGTCACACTACATCAGGGTTTCCGCGGACATGAAGGCGGACTTAGAGGTGTGGGATCGTTTTTTGAGGGACTTCAATGGCAAGGCCTTTTTTCGGGAGCAAGTGGTGTCTTCGGAAGCAGTAGGGCTGTTTACGGACGCTTCGGGCAGCGTGGGGTTCGGGGCGTATTTTTCGGGGCGGTGGTGTGCCGAGGCATGGAGGGCGAGCCCATTGATCAACAATCTGGCATTTTTGGAACTCTTTCCTGTGGTGGTTGCGGTAGCGTTGTGGGGAGCAGAATTAGCAAACAAGCGAGTAGTGTTTTATTCGGACAATATGGCCGTGGTGCAGGCAATCAACAGTTTGTCGGCATCTTCGCTTCCAGTCTTATGCCTACTGTGGCAATTGGTGCTCCTCTGCATGTCTTCCAATTTAGTATTCAGGGCTAGGCACATTCCGGGATTCTCAAATGTGGTGGCTGATGCGCTTTCTCGTTTTCAGTGGGATCGTTTTCGGGGAGCGGCTCCGGAGGCGCGGGAATACGGGCAGGCCTGCCCAGACGAGATGTGGCGACTCGGACATCGTGCTTGGGGAATACATAAAGAAATCCTTGGCATCGAGCACGTGGTCATCTTATGCTAAGGTTTGGAAGGAATGGGAGGAAACTGTAGAGGAGGTAGGTGGGGACCTTTCGGAGGGCCATAGGTTGGATGTCTTTCTATGGTTGTTGTGCCGTTTGTTTGCGAAGGGGGCTTCGCCGGCCATGGTAGACAGGCATATGTCCGCCTTGGCTTTCTGGTTTAAATTCCAAGGGTGGGAAGATTTGACAAAGCATTTCTTGGTTCGGCAGGCGGTTCGGGGTTTTCGGAGGGGAAAGACGTCGACGGACGTTAGGAGACCGGTGTCTTTTGCGGTCTTACAAGGTTTGGTGGGAACGTTGCCGGGGTTATGTTCCTCGCCATTTGAGGTGGTCCTTTTTTCCGGTGCGTTTGTCTGGGCGTTTTTCGGGGCGTTTCGGATCGGGGAGTTGGTTAGCACCAACAAGGCGGGAGTTGGTGGCTTGCAGCGCGGTGATGTGGAAGTTAAGAGTGATCGCGTGCAGATTCGGTTGGGCCGATCGAAAACTGATGTTTTCGGCAAAGGCTGCTCCGTGGTGCTATTCGAGTTGCCGGGGTCAGGGTTGTGCCCGGTGGCCTGCGGAGCAGGGTACTTGGGTATCCGTCCTAACGTTAGCGGTTGTTTTTTCTTGCACGCTGACGGCACGGCGCTGTCACGGTTTCAATTCATTAGGATTTTTCGTTTAGGCTTAGTGAAGCTGGGCCTGCAGCCCATGCAATTCGGGTCGCATTCGTTCCGTATCGGTGCGGCTACGGAGGCGGCACGCTTAGGTTTTGGTGATGAGCGGATCAAGAGGATTGGAAGGTGGGAATCCGTGCGGTTTCGCTCGTATGTGAGGCCCGACGGGATGGTGGAACTTTGAGGGGACAAATGGCCGGGACTGGGGGACACTGGCATTGCGGTGTAACTAATTTTGTCTCTTTTCAGGTTGGAAAGTTTGGTTGTTGGGCCACTTGTTCGTCTATTGGGCACAGAAGAGGGCTGCAGTT